GGGGCACTGGCGTGTGGCTGTGGTTAGTGCACGGGGGGCACTGGGCGTGTGACTGTGGCTAGTGCACAGGGGCAGTGGGCGTGTGGCTCTGGCTAGTGTAGGGGGGCACTGGGAGTATTGCTGTGACTAGTGCCCAGCAGGCACTGGGAGTATTGTTCTGGCTAGTGGCTGTCTGGAAAGAGGAAGAATGCTGGGATTTTCAGTGCCTTTGACCAATGACAGTTGAGAGGCAGTGAAGAGGTTATCTGGCTGCTAGTAGCATGCAGATGGCAGGCAGCAATACCAACCTGTGGCTGAGGAGCCCAGGGTACGTCCGTGGTAAGCTGTTAGCAGGGAGAGGGCAGGGGGAGAGAGAAAAGGCAACATGAGTAGAAGGAAGGAAAGGAGGTGATTGGTCTGGTAGGACCCACAGAGAGAGCGAGAGAGCTGATGGTCGGTTCAGCCTTCTCTGAGACAGAGAGCAGAACCAATGAGCAATGCAAACACTCCAGGAAGAATGACACAATGAATGACCTGCAGGAACAGAGGGTGCATGCACTAAGAGAGTTATAATGACTGGTCTTAGATTAAAATCCCATTCGTTGGCCTCCAAGACTGTGGACCTGGATTGGACGCGAGAACTTGACCAGTCTTTTGGGAGTGGCTCAAGGACAGGTTTCCTCCTTCACTGACATCCTTCTGAGATACCTTCTGTGCCCCCAGGATACTGGAATTCGGCTCCAGCAGCAGGTCCAGTGAGGGCCAGCTGGGAGCCCCATTGAATAGTAACAACTTCACACTAAGGAATTGCTTTCTCCTACAGAGCGAATGAGTCGGCTGAATTGCCTGTAACAAGCCATAATTAGGGTCTGTTCAGTTGAACTGCAGGAAGAGTCATAAACGCAATGTCCCATACCACTTCCATTGGGCTATGGTTACTTGTTTCCCCTCCTATAATGCCAGATTGTGGAAGATACTTTGGTTAGGAGAAAGGCAGTCCCCAGTGCAGGCATGTTAGTCTGCATGTACACATACATGGTTTAGGGTTGCCAGCATGTACCGCAATTTGGTGTGACATCTCTTCAGGCCCCTGTCGTTGGACCAGGACATTCCTCAACCAGGCAGAAGTTCTTCTGAGGATGGAACCAGGAGAACAATCCCAGCATGCTAGAGAGAAAACTGGCACCCCTAACTTAGAGAGCGTGCACACGTATACCACGGACATATACACACCTACATGCATGGAGACATCCATTGCTCTGCAGCCTGCATGCCTCCATATGGGATGTGTAAACACAGTGTCTTTGTGTACACACCGGAGAGGTGTCCAGCATGGAGATGGCACAGCTCATACTGAAACATGAGCACATTTTAAAGAGAGGGTTTGTATCTGCAAACACATTCCAGAGAAGTTGAACACATCGCAGATAAGGAGCCTCCAGACATTTTAGAAAGAGACTCCAGGCCGGCCAGTTGTAAATAAAATCTGCTATGTGCCAGGAGCTGCTGAGTGACCTAGGATCCTGGTGAGCTACAGCAGAGAGCGCTAATAATACTACAGTACCCAAATGACCCTAGCATTCGTACTAGGCACAGCAATGCAGCTCAGCTCTGCTATCAATGGACATGGGCGCAAGCTGCAGCCATGTAACCGAGGGCAGAACTGGTCCCATGGATACAAAACCCCCGGAGGGCTGCTGTATAATGGAGAGGGAAAGAAGCGGATTGCTAGGAACAGAAAGAGAACTTACCATTGCATATTGGTTTGACCCTTGGAACATAACCCCTGTTTCTTGACACTCCTGTTCCACATTTTCCCTAACTTGTAGGATCCATCACGAGTCCTGTCAGACGGGGGCCCTGCCTGGGCCTGCTATTGAGCTAACGACCACCAGGGGGGTCAGAGACAACTCCATATATCCTCCCCACCCCTTTCTAGAGAAGAGCCATGATGGCATTCAGGACACACCAGGGACGCATTCAGACCTTCCCTGCTCAGGGAAGTCACCATCAGGTTATTAATGTGGCAGAGGGAAATGGAACCAGTCGATGCAGCCTGTACTGTCCACAACCGCAGCAGCAGCAGCTTGCCATGCAGAAAGACTCTGGCAGTGAAGCCAAAGGAAGTCGGAGGCAGTTGTGACCACTCACTCAACACTGCAGTGTGCTCACCTGGGCTGCTGAGTTACGGGGGCTCCCTAGCACATGGTGCAAACTCCTTGCTGGGCTGCACAGTCATCACCACCCCTCTAACTACTTGACAGATTGCTCTATTTACTCTTCCACTGGGCTTCCAGCGGGCATGATGGGAGATGCCTTTGCTACAGGTATTCCAGGCAAACGTTGCCCATTCTGCTCAGTCCAGGAACATGGAGGTGCATGGCGGAAGGAGCATTTGGCATCAGGTGTATTGGTTTACGTGCTGGCATTGCTGAGTTAGGCATAGGAGAGAGCCGGCGGTCTGAGAAGTGGTGGCAGGTGGCAGCACTGGAGCCCGAGCAGTGACTGCAAAGCAGCTACAGAAATGGCCCTTTACCACGTGCCGTAGAAAAGGCAATGGTGGAGATGCTATTTTCCAAACGGAACGGGGTGTGGCCATGGACACATGACTCGGGAGACAGTGGTGCCAAATGGAACACTGAGATGACCCATCTTCAGTGCCAAGCCCTCCTGGGAATGGGGACTGTGTGCACAAGGCACCAGCTATCTGTTACGGCCCAGGCTATCAATGGAAGAGCGCGTGAAATCGTGGCACCGAGAACCAAGAATGAGGTGGATAAACTGTGATTTTGACTGAGCGTGTCTGCACTGCCTGGATATCTAAAAAGCATGGGCTACACTCCCAGAGCCCTGACCCAGCATGCACTGGGGTCGGTGTAAAACCTGGGTTGGTGTCTCTGGTCATTTCAGCTGTTCTATAGTCCAGACTAGGAACTAGGAGGGGCTGTCTCCAGGACATTACATCATCCACAAAGAAGTCCCTGAAGGGATGCCCTGATGCCAAGGTGAGCATTGAGGTTGGTTCCTGGGAAGCCATGTGGCTCCTATCCCCACCCTCCATGTCAGTGCCTGGGGGTGCCATTGCTCCATCACGCTAGGACTATCACACACTCTGGCTAATAACCTCCATAGGGGTCACTGCCATGGCATTGGCATGGCTGGGGGGCAAAGGCCTCTGCAGAGACTGCTGAAAGGTGCAGGGTGAGCATTTCACCGTTCTCCTTGGCAATATCAATTCCGTGGGTTCACGCACATGAGGCCAGAATGCTACCCAGTGGTGTAGTCTGGACAGCAACCCCACAGGATGGAAAATGGTAACGCTCACGGGGCCAGCCCCCGATCCACTCCAGCCAGGTCAGGCCCTGGTTCAGGTAACGCGCATTGCGGTCAGCCAGGTGGTGGGCTCGGCCCTCCCCTCGGAAGAGAGAGGAGAAGAGGTAGGGATGGATTTCTGAGCCCCACCCGCGATGGGTCTGCCTGGGGAGGGATTAGCTGTGTGTTTGGGAGGCAGGGGAGGGCGAAATCCCTGTTTGGCGAGTCTGAGGCCTAGTCTATGCCTAAAATGTAGGTTGATCTAGCTATGTGACTCAGGGCTGTGAATAATTCCAGGCCCTGTGTGATCCGCCCCCACCCCGCCACTGTAGATACAGCTAGGTTGACGGAAGAACTCTTCTGTCGACGTAACTGCTGCCTCTCAAGGGGTGTAAAAATCCCCTCTGTTGCTGCACCACGTGTCTACACTACAGTGCCCAGCGGCTTAGCTGTGTAGACATTCCCTGAACAACACCCTCCACCCAACTTTGCTGTTCTGTGGCTCTTTTGGAATTTGTGTTAAATTTTCTGGCTTGGAAATGAAAGCCTGATAGTGTCAATAACAAAGAGACTTGTCTGTGCATAATTGAGCATGTGCCTCTACCTGCTAAACTGGAATTCCACTTCCCGCTCCCCTGGGCCCCAGCTCCAGGCAATCCCAAAGTGAGGATCACATCGCTGTCACAAGCATCCTGCAATGCTGCGTGCCTTTCTACACCTTGTAAAGGACGGGCGTGCACAAGACTGCAGCACCCACACATGGGTGTGCGCACACTCACACGCATGCACACAGAGGCGAGGTGAAAAGTCAGAGAACAAAGGCTGGGAATTATAGGGTTACCATATTTCAGCAAGCAAAAAAGAGGATGGGAGGAGCCCCGCCCTAGCCCCGCCCTGTCCTGCCCTAGCCCCACCCCATCCTGCCCTAGCCCCACCCCTGCCCCTCCCACTTCCCCCCCTCAGAACCCCCAACCCTCCCCCCGCTCCTTGTCCCCTGACTGCCCCCTCCTGGGACCCCTGTCCCTAATTGACCCCCAGGACTCCACCGCCTACCTAAGCCTCCCTGCCTCTTGTCCCCTGACTGCCCCCTCCTGAGACCCTCCCCCCATCCTAACTGGCCCCCTAGGACTCTACCCCCTACCTGTACCCTGACTGCCCCAACCCTTATCCACACCCCCACCCCCAGACAGACCCCTGGGACTCCCACGCCCCATCCAACCACTCTCCACCCCCTGACAGGCCCCCCCAGAACTCCCGACCCATCTAAACCCCTCTGCTCCCTGTCCCCTGACTGCTCTGATCCCTCTCCCCACCCCTGCCACCTGACAGCCCCCCCCCC